CACTATAGAAACTTGATTCTAATATTTAATGATCTAGATGCTCCATCAACTTTAATGTTCTTATAGTTTATGAATACATAGTGTAAGAAATGAGGAAGTTATATACATAAAAGCTAGATTAATTGTGATTTATTGTAATATGTATGTAATAAAATACTTTAGAAAGTGTTTTGTAGAAAGCAATCTAACAGGAAGAAAATTAAAATTTAAGAAAAGTCTGGTTATATATATAAAGGCAAGCATTATTTAATTCTAATTAATAGTCTAAAATTAATATATTGTTAAAAATAAAAAAAAACTAATGGTCAATATGTTTAAGCCAATTATAGTGCATTTGTTTATAATTTTTTATATATTTATTTATGAGAGTTTAGGCAATCTGAACTTATAATTTTTGAAGGAAAAAAAAAATTGGATTTTGAATATGTATTAAAATGCAAATATATATTTGCATAATTCTTAAACAATGACTTAAAACTTTTAGAATAATAATCAAGTTTTTTTGATAGCTTCTACTAAACAAAATATCTTGCTATTTTATGATTAGTTAATGTTGTTTAACATAAAACAGATTTAAATAACTTGTTCATAAAATATTAAGTTTAACAAGTTAAAATTAAATAATTAATTAGTTAAAAATTATGACAATAATATTTTTATAAAAACATTTAATCATCAATTAATAATAATTAATAAATATATTAATTTTAATATATTGATTTTATCATCCCTTATACCTTTTATAAATATGTTTGTATGAAATATTTATAATAATAATAATAATTTTTATTTTATACAGTTTTCACTTTATCTTAAGTTTTTAAATTAGATTTTTTTTTTTTTTTAGCATTTACAATTCTATGAAAAATTTTGAAAGTTGTAAAAAAAGTTTCACACTAGAGAAAATATTATTCCTGGAGGAATATTCTTACACAGTGTTAAAGAAAAATATCCATTTCCACATAAATAGTCTGTCAACATACTTTTTTTTTTCCATAAAATTCCGTGTTTCTGTTCAACTTATTTTTAAAAAAGTATAAAAGAAACAATTCTTTGGCAAGGTCCAAATACATCCAATTTTTCATAGAATTTTACTTTACACAATTTTACAACACTAATTTTCTATTAAATTTAATTATTCACTAATGAACTAATCTTGTAGAATAACAAAAAATAAAATAATAATATAAATTTTTTAATTAAAATATTAAAAAAATTTTAAAGTATTTGTATAAATAACAGAATTTCTAGAGAAACTTTNATATTAAGTTAATATATGGAAAAAGTTAATTATTTTTTAAATATTAAATCACATTATTTTTATGTTAGGTTTGATATTTGCTATCCAAATTTGTCAGTAATATTTTGATTGTACATTTTCATTGATTCTTGGATGATGATGATCATATTTTTGTTCATCTCTACCAGATTACATGCAGGTTGATCATAATTAAAGATTAGGTGTTCAGAGCTTTCTATAGAAAGAACTAATGGCAAATCTTAACTAAATTTGGTTTATATATTGACTTGAGTATGTGGTTTCAATTTTTGGGGAAAAGTTTTTCTTAAGTTTAGTCGTTAGGGCGAAATTTAGCGCCGCTGTCCCCTTAATGTGCATACTGATATTACATACGTTTTCTAATGAATTTCGGGAACTAAGTGCAATAATTTTATTTAAATTACAACTCCTTTTATGTCCGAAATTCGTTAGAACAGCAGCGCTAAATTTTGCCTAGTGGCTCAATTTTAAAGTAAAATTTTTTCCAAAAATCAATACAGCATACTTACCAGAGTTTGTAGGGGAGACCGGGGCAACTTCGGCATGCGGGGCAAGTTTGTCAAGCGCTTTTTTTTAAAAACAAATTAAAAGGAGACTTTGGTTATAGGTTAGGCAGTTGAGTTTTATTGGTGGCTTGTTGAGTGTAGTGTTTTTATTGTTCTCCAACAAGCGTAGTTGAATTATCAAGCAAATTTTCATTTTCGTTCAATTCCATATAATATTTTTTTTCCATTTATATTGAATTGGCAGGTTTTGTTATAATTCCATGATAACGAAAGTTACTTTTCCTGTTAGAAGGATGTAACTTCAACTTATTCACGTGGCCAGATCGTGGCTTGGCATTCTGTTCTCAGGGTTGTACTTAATGTTTCGAAATCATGACTAGCGGGGTAAGATCGGCAACATAAAGCCACATTAGAAGCAAAGGATAAAAATCAAACAGATGATAAATGAAAACATGTTTGCATTTGTTATTCATGTATATATGTCTTTGAACTTGCATTTCGTTGTAATAATATTAAATGGGTGTTGGATTTGTATTTCTTTGTTTTAATAGTGAATTCCAACTTATACATTGTTAATAACATAATTTTATATACGTGCCTATCTTGCCCCATTACTGTTGCCCCTATACCAGGGGCAACTTTAATAAAAATAATTAAAATAATTACAACTTTACAAAAAGAGAGAAGTTGCCGATCTTGCCCCTATACCCGGGGCAACTTCGTCAATTTCTCTCTTCTTGTAAAGTTGTAATTATTTTAATTATTTTTATTTCCAAACTGATTTTAACCAGTTCTATAGTAAGGTAACATTCCAATAGACAATGTGCAAAGCTTTTTTTTCAGTTTACAGCAGTATTTATTACACAAAATTTAAGTAAAGCTTAACATGCCGATCTTGCCCCGGTCTCCCCTATACCAAATTTGGTTGAGATTTGCCCAATAGTTTTTTTTTTAGATAGAGCTCTGAACATTTACTCTTTAATTATGATCACTCTGTGTAATATAAGTTATAACAGTATTTTTATACTGTTATAGCTTATATTAATTGATCACACTTTCTTAGTATATAATAAAATGTTATATAATAAGAGTATTTGTATATTAATTGTAATTTTATATAATTTATTATAGTTTGATCCAACATGATTATTTTCCAAATTTATTAAATTTTTTGTAAGAAGTGTGAGGATGATTTTGGAGAATTCCTGTAAAATTAATTTATATTTTTCTTGTATTTATTATACATTTTTTAAAAAATTTATGAAAAATAAATGGAACTTGTCATTTGTTTATTAATTTATACTGAGGGATTATCTAATTTAACTTGTAGATTTTTGTTGTTTGATTACATTTTCTAGTGTATTGATTGGATTGTATCAAAAATAAATTATTGAAAGGTGATTCATATTTTTTTCTCAAATAGAAATTATCTCATTTAAAAGTATTATAAAAACAAACTGAGTAGGAAATATAAATCAAAATTGACTTTTTCTTGTAAAAAAGGAAAAAAAGAAGATTAAACAACTCATTTTTCAAGATTATGATGTAGAAATTTTTGTTTTTTAGCTGTTCTTTTCTTGAAAAACAATTTTTTTCACAAAAATAAGCCAAAAGAGGAAGTAAAAGTGAATATAAATTTTTAGAAACATAAATTTATCAAGAAAGTAACCGGATATGTTGTTAGATCTGCATACAAATCTTTCATTTTTCAATACTTCCTGTTTTAAAATCGAAAAGAAAGCATATTCCACTCAAAGTTACGATTTGAATTACCTCTTTTATGATAGATTGGAGGACACAAAGATATATTAAGCAGAAGTTGTAATTTAAGAATTAACTATTTCATCAATTTAATTCTTTTATTATTGTTAACGATACCTTATTCTTTCCAGATGAAAATTGAATATTTTTCCATTGGCATCATTTAATATTTATGGTTCTAGATGGAAACCGATAACATTGCATAATCACCATACTTTCCACATCTCGCAGAAAACCTTGAGATGCATACAAAAGAGCTTTATGTCAACCATTGCGAAAACATAACAAATTTCAATTAAAACAGATAAAGTAGTTAATATTTAATTATTCTTTGTTATTTTATTTAAAAATAAACACAAAATTCCATACAATTAAAAAACTCTTAACTTTGATGGGGAAAATGTGACTTTCGTCTTAGTTTTTCAGGCTATAAAGTTTAAAAATAAATTGCAGTTTTTCCTCTTTGAACTTTTGAGTACTGAAAATCTATTTACACAAAGCATTAAGGTTTTTTTTTTCCTTTCTTTCTTTCTCTCAACTTATTAATGGATTATTGACTGATGACAGCTTAGAAAAATCTGGGTCATGATCAAGAATTAAGGAAGTAAATGAGTTAAGTACTTGTAGTCTATTTTTAGAAAGAAACAGAACTAAATTTTGTTGTGAATGGGCAATGTGACAGGCCGGCTGAACGGAGCCCACTTCTTGTCCACTGTCACTTAACCGATGACAAATTGACTTTCTCCATTTTTATCTAAAGATTGCATTGCATTTCTCCTCGTTTTCTGTGACTTAATGCAGTTGTTTTTCCTTTTACATGCGTGACTAAGATTATATATATTTTATTTTTATTAATTATGTTATACAGGCAAAAGTTACGGTTATTTAATGAAGAATCTTGATTCGAAAAATTAATTTTAATATTTATAAATTATATTCTATTTAAAAATGGTTGATTATAATCTTATTCATAATATTGCTCCGGGCGCTGATAGAGTCGATAAATCAATACAATTTCGTGATACAAAAGCGAACATAATTAATTTTTATAACTAATTATATAAAGTTTTTTTTTCTCTATTGAGTTGCATAATTTAATTTTTAACGAGCTATTTTTTAAAATTTTAATTAATCCAGCAGTGCTATTACATTTCAAAACTATCACATTTTAGTGCAGTTAATAAGTAAAATTTGACACTGAAAACTAAGATTATAGCAGTGTGCACGGTTTATAAAATGGAAAATGGTTGTCCTTGCTCGTTTTATAGAAAAAAAAGGGTAGGCATTACTTAACTTAAGATGATTTTTTAAGCGTTAATTAACACCTGCTTGGTTTTTTTCAGCGTTAAGTAAGTTTAACTATAATGGAGCTTGAACCTTATTCTAACCTTACTTATACTTCCTGAATTGATATAATGTATAATATTGCATTGTATTCTTTTTTTCAAATCTAGATGGATGCAGAAAGTGATGTAACAACAGTACAGCTCCCTATAGTTCGTATGAAAATAGAGGAGGAGACACAAGACGTGAAGAAATATGAAGGCAAGTCAAGAGAACGAACGGAAGAGCGGTTAGATGATGATCATCAAGGACAGCAAATCAAAAACTCATCACACGAAGAAAGTTCTTATGAAAATTTAAAGGAAAATGTGAGCCCTTCATCCCAGATATTTGAGAAAGTAGATTCTTGTCATCACATGATTGACGTTTGTAATATGGGTATAGAGCAAGTGCAGTCGACTATAGAAATGGGAGAGATTCAGTGTCAAGATCACTCTCACTTACAACTCGCTTGTTGTTACATAATGGAACAATCGTCTCCTTTAAATGTTGCCTGTTCAAAATCTGTTAACTTACACGACGATGCTGTTACTGTAAAATATGCTCAAATTCAAGAAACTCAAGTAAGTGTTTTTTTTTATATATATATTTTTAATCTATAATAATTATAGAAATATGTGTCAGTTTTAATTACACAAACACTTAACTTTAATCTCTATAACTTTAACTGGCTTTTATAAGTTTAAGTATCGTACATGAGCTAGGAATGCCACAAATGTTGACAGGTTTTTGTTTCTTGTTGGCTTCTGTCTGTTCATCCTTCTTAAACCTCTTAAGACATGTTTTATCAACCTCTGTTCTTAATCAACTGTCCGCCCACTTGGTTTGTTTCTCTAAGAATTAAAGAATAAATATCTGGAAGTGAAAAAAAAAAATGAATGGCGTACCTAAATGCGGGAATTCAACTTTGTCAAACTTTCCTCCCTCTTTACTCAAGTCTTCAGCTTCATAATTCTTCTGTGTTGTTGTTTAAAGCATTATATTATTTTTCATTAATTAAATTTTAATCCTCTTAGGTTATGTTACACAAATTTTGCTTTTGTTTGCAGATTTATTTGAAGACCTTTTTTTTTTTTAATGGAGCATGCATTGTCCTTGACTCTTCCCCATTGTATTCAATAATTGCAGTAAAGATTAATTACCGATTTTAATAACTCGAGCATAATGATACTGAATAAAATAAGGATATCATTTATTAGATAATATGCTTTTCTTTTTTTTAATATTTTAGGAGTAACAGCCCTTTATTCATAAAGTATTATTTGAATAATGTACGAGTGAGATATATTTTTTATTTCCAAGGTTTGTCTGAATTAAAAGAGCAGGAAGTCAGCACTTCTTATCGACCCTGACATCATTTTGTTGAAAGAAGTTCTTCACTCTAAAGTTTTGACTGTTTCTAATTAATTTTGAAATATTTTATTACTGTCATAAAGTATTTATTCCTCTGGTTTCAGAATGTGTCTTCATGCTTGCTGTTCTTTAAATTATTTCTAATCAGATAAGCTTAAGCACGTTGCTGTCACTAGTTTTTAAAATAAAAATTTTGATGTTTTATTTAAATTTTCTCAAATCTTATAATTCATCTTAGTATAAGAAAATTTATTTTAATTTTTATTTTTTATCCGTGTACTTGAAGACACTTGAATAATAATAATAATAATACACTCCAACCTTTTTATTATTCAAATTTATGATTTAGTATCTTTATAACTTAATTTATGTAATTATTTCTTGGAATTCCGTTGTAATTTATTAAATTTCGAGAACTTAACCATATTTGAATTATCAAAATCACGATTTAGATAAGACCTGTAAATATATTTTTTGTTTTATAATTCTATCCGATTTATCAAATCTTGTTTGGCATCGTTTATAATCTAGTTGATCTACTTTTACTATGAAAAATATTCGTATTGAGTGATGTTATTCATTCCTAATTTATATTATAATATTTTGCTCTGAAATTTCAACATGCAAATTGTCTGTAAATCATTAGGAACCTAAATATTTCAGTCCAGATTTTTTCCATTTAAGTTGATCTGATCTTAGTTTAGATCAGAATAAAACTAGCTGATCCAATTTTCAACACTCTTAATGAGAGATTTCAGCACTCCCACTGTGGAATTCTAACATTTCCATTAACACTCCCCTTTTCATTCTCTGAACATTAACTGGAATCTGGAGCTTCTAGTTTAAACTCGCTTAAACTCGTTTAAATCTAGAAGCTCCAGATTCCAGTTAGTTAAATGTTTCTTATGACTGCTGGAACCTAAATAATCTTGTCTTTTTTTTTCCTATTTCATCTTCACTATTTGAATTTTTGCTCTGAATAAATTTTAATTTTCATAAATTGGATTGGATTAGATTGACGGAATGAGGCAACGTTACAGCTGCACCATCCAACAAGGGAAAGCTCCTATTTAGGTGTTAGACACGCGAAGAAAACCTGGAAATCTCCACGTGGCCAACCCGTGTTGAGGTTCGAACCCGGAACCAACTTCCAGTAGTGGTGCACAAATTTGAATCAGGGGTCCCTTGTATAATACAGTGTTGACTTAAGACATTTTTCTTCGGGGAAACTCTTTGGGGGATATCCTCCAGTTTCCTGGTTCGTTTTTTTTAACCCGACCTCTGAAGGGTTTTAGTTAAGTTCTGTGCTGCGCCACACCGGCAATGTAGGATCTTCAGATATGACACCAAATTTAAATTTCGATATTCTTACTACAGTAATAAATTTATAAAAGATTGGTTGCCCTTTTTGCCCATAGAATAACGCGCCGCTGACTTCCAGTGTTCGATATTTTCACTGAGCCACTGGTGGCCTTCATAAATTGCGAATTCCACTTTTAATCTAAAGAATATTGTAAAGAATTGATTGATTTGGCATGAAATGCTTCACTTTTTGATAATTGGATGAAGATTTAGTATTGGCAACTCGCATCTCTTCAGCTACGAAATTCATATAAAGTAACCCGTGTTCATCACTGATTTAAGACCTTTAATACTTTAACCATTTACACTTAGTGAAACTATAAATTTAACTTTTCATAATTGCATTTACGCGAAACTACGTTTGCTCGCTACCTGTTTTATATTTAAAGATTTATCCGGAAATTGCTCTACCCAAAAACAAAAAGGAAAAAAAAAATGTCTCCATCTTTAAGGCAATTTGTTCTACTCCATTGGCCAGTAAACGCTTTAATTGGATTATTTGTACAATTACGGCGTGACAAACAGTAAATCTACTTCTCCTGTACAACATACAATTCGCACGTCGTTAGATCAAAGGGAGAATAATAGTTTTAAAGGGAGGAAAAAATGATGCTGTGTTGCACCACGATAGAATGTGTACATGATAAATTAATAAAAATTAAAGAGTACTTTTTTTTTTTTGTTTTTCCTCTTTTCCCCGGTGTCTAAATTTAGAAAATGGATCTAACACTGCCTGGAATTGTTATTGTTTGAATCTAATTGAGAGCGATTTTCTTCACTTACAAGGACATCGGCAATTGTCGAAATTATCCAGACAGACACACGGAAAGACATCAATGATGAACAGTCTTGCGAAGGGCAATGTCCTTTACTACCTAAGAAAAAGAAATGAATAAAAAAATAATAATAATAATAAAATAAAATAACTTGGTTGCACCAGTTAAACTTATTAAGGAGTTTGTTATACAATTTTTGTTACGTTGTTATTTATTATTATTACTTTTTTTTTTTTTTAAACATAATTGCTTAGTTAAACTTTATCTTTAGAAACAACTTATGGTGGATTGGATTATTTACAAAAATAAACTGTAGATGGCGGCACTGTAATAATGGTGTCGGTTTGAGATTTTTATTCTCGATGCCCATTAATTTAAATTTAACATTGATTTTCAGTAAAATGTTAGAAAATCTCGTTTTATATGACGTGGTGTTGAAGTTTTAGTAAAATATAAATTTCTCTTTTTAAAATTCGAATCTTTAATAATGAACACCTCTAAATTGCGGCCATTTTTCTTTTTTTATGTTCTCTTCAGTGGCCGTTGTTTACAGGTTTGAATGTATTTAGGTTCAGTTTGTGTTAATTCTGTTAATTAATATAAAAATTCTTAAATATTGCATAAATTACAAACGTATGCTCGAGCGATTAAATTAACCATTCTCTTAACACATGAAAATTTATGAATGACCTCCGTTAACAAGTAAGATTCTCTTAAATTAGAAAGGTTGTTTAATATTTAACTTCCTTAATTTGTTAAATCTCATTAATCGGAAGAGTCTTCTTAATTAAAAGTAAGTATTCGTGAAATTCTTGATCTATAATGATCAAGAATTTCACGAGTACCAAGAAATCTTTTAATATGGAAGATTTAAGACGAGTTAAATGAGAGATTTTTGAAGATTGAAGATTTACAAAGAATTCTCTTGTTAGATTTACTGGAAAATTCTTAGAAAGACTTTTATTTTATAAGGATTTTATTGACCAGAATTCTGTTGTTCGGAATTTTCCGTGTTAGAACCATTGTAATCCGAGATTTTCTGTGGGTACTTTCGGTATCTTTAAATAAACATTGGGATTAAATTTTCTGAATTAAGGTTTTAGATATCTTAAAGAAATTCTAGAAGCCTTCTCAGAAGAATTTTTGATATTTAAAGATTTAAAAAGTATTATAATATTATAAAGATTTTTATTTTTTAAAGGCCTTATATATAAGAATTCTTAGATTTTATTGATTAAGGTTTTGGATTTTTTTTTGCGATTGGAATCAAAAATCTTTAAGTAATTCGAGGATTTCTAGTGAAATCCGAAATTTTCATTGGAAATCTTCAGATTACAACGATTATAATTGCAAAAAATCCAAACTTTATTGAAAATTGAAGAATTCTTATTAAAAATATTCAAGAAAATCCTAGTTGCAAAGGGCAAATTCTCAGAGCCAGCGTTCACACAGTATTTTTATTTCTGGTTGGACTACACGGAGGGGAATTTCGAATGCACTTGTAACAATTGTACAGAGATGTACAACGAAGTGGGTCAGAACGTGAAATCCGGCATTTATCAGACGTAGAGAAGACAGATAAATATTTTCTGTCGGCGGCGTGACTGGTGTGCGGGAGTTTTTGACTCTCCCACATCATCTACTCGCTACCGCTTTATCAGTAGTATTAAAAAACATCAAGCAAAAGTAATCCCCCGTTTTACAACAGCAACTAAACCGAAATTTATAATGGGACAATAATGATGCGGAAAAAAATGGCCGGAATGATATTTTTCCGGGTTTCGTTTGCATAATAACTAACAAGGCTAACTGTACACAGTACATAAGGTGATTATCTTGGTGTAACGATAAACAATAACAATAATGCACCTAGTTGCGAAGTTCGTTGTACCAATGCCAGTGTGGGTTTTTTCTTTAACTAAAATTCAGCTCGTGTTTGAGTCTCTTACTACTTTAAAGATAGTCTGGGTCAAGTTGGATGTGTGTAAGAGGGGGCTTGGCATCTGTTTGAAGTCTTGTGTGTCCCAGAAGTATTAACAGGGCCATTTCCTTGTCAAATATACAAGACTTAG